CATCGGAGATGAAGGAAGAAGTCGACGAGGCCAGTTTTCTCCGGAACATTACAGCCGATATCAGAGATCAGGATGATCTGGAACGAGACATCACGGCACAGGCAAATGCCGCATTGATGGAAGCCGACGAAAAGAGGGACCAACAGCGTATTGAAAAGCTCGAGACCACAAGAGAAAGGCTTCAGAATCAAAGAGCGAAGGAGCGCCAGAATCTTGAGAAAGAGCGTCGCAACCCATACAAAACTCGGAAGATCCAGACCCAAATCGACAAGCTCGACAAAGAGATTGAGGATGTGAACAACGACATTTCCGATTTTCAGGCCCGCATAGAGAGGAGGCGCGAAGAAGCTGCAGCGGCAGTAGACGAATCGTCCAAGACCAAATCTAGAAGACTCCCTGGAGAGACGAATCGCGAGTATCTCGTCCGTACCGGCAAGATCACGCCCTTCGCGAATATTAGCGGTGATCGACCCCCTGGCTTCGAAGGCGAGCTTGCAGACGCTCTTGCGGAAGCTGAAGAGGATGCAGCGGAGAACGACTTTCAAAGCGATGACGAAGAGCCAAAGTCGCATCAGGTTCTGCGTATGCCGGGCTTTGCCGAAGAGCCCGAAGCGCCAACTGCTCCAGCAGCTGTTGAGAATGAATTCTCCCTTCGGCCAAGAAAGAAGCGCAAGGTGAAGCAAGAGGCCTCGGATGAGGAATTTGAGCCAGAGGCTGCCGCTGTATCGGAGGCAGAGAGCCAGTATGCTTCTGACACGAGCGAAGAGGAGGCTACTGGCCGCAAGCGACGAAAATGCCCATCGAAGAAGAAGGCCACAGGCGCTGCGGCCGATGATGGAAAGGTCGACTTGGCCGGCGTCGACGATGGCAATGAGTCCAATTACAAATCACGACTAGCAGATTGGGTGAAGAGGCGAAGCAGAGCCCGGCGGCGACGCGCCGAAGCTGATGGGGTTGAGCTGGTCGAAGATGATGAAGAAGAATGGTTCAAGCCGTCGCCTGACCATCCTGACCATGTCTTCGGTAACGGCTTGAAGTTGCCAGGCGACATCCACCCATCTCTATTTGCATACCAGAAGACTGGAGTTCACTGGCTCGCGGAGCTTTACGAACAAGGCGTAGGCGGCATCATCGGCGATGAGATGGGCTTGGGCAAGACAGGTAAGCTATGGAATGGCACTGTGACAAGATCTCGCTGCTAATCCTTTCAAAGTCCAAGCAATTGCCATGGTAGCAGCTCTACACTACAGCAAGAAGCTTGACAAGCCCGTCATCGTGGTTGTTCCTGCAACTGTTATGAAGCAGTGGGTAAACGAGTTTCACCGTTGGTGGCCTCCACTGAGGGTCTCCATCTTGCACTCTTCAGGCAGCGGCATGATGAATCAACATGAGGATGATTCTGATCTGGATGACGGTGGGGAAAGTACCAATCGTGTCGCTGCCCGGAGAATCGTCAATCGGGTTGTCAAGCACGGCCACGTGCTCGTAACCACATACGCCGGTCTGCAATCCTACAACGAAGAGCTTCTGCAGCACTCATGGGGCTATGCGATCCTTGATGAAGGCCACAAGATCAGAAACCCTAACGCTGAAATCACTGTTGCATGCAAGCACCTGAATACCGTGAACAGAGTCATTCTCTCCGGCACGCCAATCCAGAACAACCTGACTGAACTCTGGTCTCTCTTCGACTTCATCTTCCCAATGCGCCTAGGCACGCTGGTGAGCTTTCGGACGCAGTTCGAGCTCCCCATCAAACAGGGTGGCTATGCGAACGCAACCAACCTTCAGGTCATGACAGCTGAAAAATGCGCCACAACCTTGAAGGAAACCATCAGCCAGTACCTTTTGCAGCGTCTCAAGATCGACGTAGCATCGGATCTTCCAGAGAAGACAGAGCAGGTCTTATTCTGCAAGCTGACCCAGTCTCAGCTCACGGCGTACACTAGGTTTATAAGCTCTGACGCGGTTGGCGAGATCATGACGAGGAAACGGAAGGCTCTCTACGGGATCGACATTCTGCGGAAGATCTGCAACCATCCGGACCTACTTGATGATCGTCTGAAGAGGGATGCGAAGTATGACTGGGGAGACCCGGCAAAGTCAGGCAAGATGCAGATGGTGAACGAGCTTTTGCCAATGTGGAAGCGTTTCGGACATAAAACGCTGTTGTTCTCCCAGACCAAGTTGATGCTCAACATTCTTGAGAAGTTCATCCGCAGAATGGACGGCGTGAGCTACGTTCGCATGGACGGTGACACGCCCATCGAGCAGCGCCAGGCCTTGATTGACCGCTTCAACCACGATCCATCCATCGATGTTTTCCTATTGACAACGAGGACGGGAGGCTTGGGTATCAATCTCACGGGCGCAACACGCATCATCATTTACGATCCCGACTGGAATCCCTCCACCGACATGCAGGCTCGTGAGAGGGCTTGGCGACTAGGTCAAACAAAGCCAGTTGCTATCTACCGGTTGATGACATCGGGAACCATCGAGGAGAAGATCTACCACCGACAAATCTTCAAACAGTTCATGACCAACAAGGTCTTGAAGGACCCCAAACAGCGTGCCAACTTTGACTTATCTGACCTCTACGACCTCTTCAGTTTTGGCGACGCCGGCCATAGCATGGCAAGCGCCGACAGAAGCAAGATCTTCCAGGGAGCAGAGGTCAAGTTCAATAAAGAAGAGGCTCAAGTACAGCACGACAAACCGTCCAAGGATGCCGTGCCCATCTCGTCTGTAGGCAACGCGGATGACGCGGAAGTCAACACCGTCCGAAAGCTTTCTGGAGTTGTGGCAATGGAGGAGTACCACGAAGAGAAGGAGGTTCATGATGAGAAGCGCATGACAGAGAACCTATTCGCTCGGTCCGTGGAGAGCGCTTACGAACACGATCAGATCATGAACGGCAAGAAGCCGGTGCAGGCCGACAGGGCGATGAACGAGCACGAAGCCAGAAAGGTGGCCGCCCAGGCTGCAGCTCATCTCCGCCGAGCCGGCGAGGAAGCAAGAAACGTTCCCATCGGGACTGTCACCTGGACTGGTGAAGTTGGTGACGGAGGCCGTCCTGGCGCCCATCGCCGACGGGGTGGACCTAGTTCATCTGGCGTGATGAATAACCTAGCCGATCGACAGGGACTGAGCAAACCGAACAGCAACTTGAAGCAGAAGGACTTTATTCTTCTAATTCAGAGCTTCATCAAGCGCCACGGAGGCAAGGTCCCCAGCAAGATGTTGGTAGACCACTTCAACCCGTATTGTCAGACGGCGAAACAATCAGACGAATTCAAGTCTGCGCTCGACAAGATCGCCACCCTGAGCAAGAAAGGCACAGCCAGCACTGGCAGGGGTATGTGGTCGCTCAAGCCAGGATTTTAAGGGAAGTACGCAGATACGTTGATTAAGCCGCCAGAAAGGGGCAAACTTGGGTCAATTGCATTTTGAGCAGGAGTTGGGGTCAGCGTGGTAGACACAAATCAGAGCTTAGGTAGACTAGATATCCGTCAAGAGATCAAGGCCGAATCCGTTTAACGAAACACCAGACGCCTTGCACAATCTTCACCTCTCACGTTGATAAAAGCGCAGTAATGTTGCACAGACTCAGGTAGGGTTCAGGAGCTACTCTTCAGTTCAGGCCATTTATGGCGAGTTTCTATTCTGTCTACGATAGATACTGTCGCCCGCAGCAGAAGGCATGTCACAGTGCGTAGAATGGGGACCAGGCTAAGAAGCCGTTCCCCGCGTTTTTCGCGATGCCACCCAGAAACCAAATAACGAGCACTCCTGCCCCAGAGCCACCCAGACGATTGATAGCAACCGGGCGCTCAGAGACGGCGACCACGGCGACCACCCTTTCTGCGGGTAGAGTCGGAGGGCGTGGGGGTAACGTCCTCAATGCGGCCGATCTTCATGCCGGAACGGGCCAGGGCACGGAGGGCAGACTGGGCACCGGGGCCGGGGGTCTTGGTGCCGTTACCTGGAAGACGGAACGATCAGAACTTGATGCAAGGCAAGGCTTATGAGGGCAACTTACCACCGGTGGCACGGATCTTGATGTGGAGGGCAGTGATGCCGAGCTCCTTGCAGCGGGTAGCGACGTCCTGGGCAGCCAACATGGCGGCGTAGGGGGAGGACTCGTCACGGTCGGCCTTGACCTTCATGCCACCAGTGACACGGCAGATGGTCTCACGGCCACTGGAATCACCCAGAACGTTAGCCATCTGGAACCACCAGTACTTCTTGGGACATTGCTTCCATCAGTTGTGCGCGGCGCGAGCGTCACGGGAAATTCGGAATCCTCCCCGGCTCTGTGCGGGGCGCAACTGACTTCTTTCTTTGCGGGAGAGACCTACGAGAGATCGGTGACGTGGACGAAGGTGTCGTTGAAGGAGGCGAAGATGCGGGCAACACCGAAGACGAGCTCACCTGTTGGCGGGGTACCATGTCAGTCTTCACTCTTTTTGCAATTATGGCGCCGCGATGCCCGCAGGCATTGAAGCAGTAGAAAGTTCACGACTTACCCTCGCGGACCTGGGGTCCGAGGGAGATGTTCTCCTGGGCAGGGCGGGTGGTCTTCTTGGGAGGCATCGTGACTGCTGTGTTGGCGAATTGCTTCGGTGGTGGTTAGTCGGGAATGGTAGAAGCTCTTTTTCCTCTCGATGCGCGCAACCAAAGGAAATTTCACACAGGCGGCCGACGCTCGAAAAGTGGACGGTTCTGCCCTGACCGGGGCTTAACGGTGTCGGCCGGCAGAACGCTGCAATAGGCTTAGCGCCATGGGAAACCCTACCTAAGCGAGCGGCCCTTCAGCGGTGCAGGGTGAAATTTTTGTGAAAGTGGCCCCTGCGTTTGGCGGCGGGTCCCAGTTTTTGGAATTGGAGAATCTGCTCAAAATCTTCGTGATCCCGCCTCACTCCCCTCTCCTCTCCTTCTTCCGACCAGCGACCAAATTTTCGACGACACCCGCCGACAAATACTAACCCGCCTTCACAATGGCCGCCGCTACGTACGTTCACCATTGCCCCTGAACGCAGCTCTCCCCCCTTTCGAGGGCGTGCCTGGTGTTGTTGGATGTCTTGCAGATTGTCGTGGTCCTCTCGCTGGAGAACATGAGCTTTACCTCGTCGTGAAGTCTATGGGTCTCGTCAGCTCGAACCCTCCCGGGCCTCTCCCTCCTTCCTTCATGACCTGGAACATGGCTTGCGGATTGAGAGATGTTGTCTGGGGTGTTGGGGATGAACGGTAACTCGTTCTCCCTGAAAATCATTGCCGCATGATGGAGTCGACCAGGCAGCGCTGAAAAGTCTGCCTGGTTGCACACAAGCATCTGCGCGCACTCCTTCTTGAACATGTCAATGTTCGAGGTGTTGTCGGATGAGCAGAAGACTTGCGCTCCGGAGGTGTGCTGTTAGCCTCTGTAACAAGAGCACAAGCACCCTCCCGCGTTCGTCGTCTCACCGATCAAAGTCATCTTTCGAGTTAGCCATAGTGAGAATGTCGCGATTCAGCTACAGTTCTCGCACCGGCGCTCTCTTCCATGCTGCATGCAGTATGTAGGACTGCGTACTAATCTGAGTTGCATCAACAGTTCCGTCCCCACCTCTAACCAGGTCCTGGTCCCCGAGACCCTTCTCAAGAAGCGCAAGTCTCAGGAGAAGGCTCGCGCCGAGCGCAACGCCGCCGCCGAGAAGAAGAAGACTGTAAGTGCCTTCACCGCAATTTTCATTCACGCTCCCCTACATGATGCACAACAAACCTTCACGACTAGACTACGGTCGATGCTGTTGGAAATTAACCTTCTTTCGGGTCTGACACTTATTGGATTCAACGCCTCATTTTGAGAACACCACCCTGTCTTGCAACAGTTGCTAACATGTTCTCTCAAAGGCCAACAAGGAGAAGCGCGGCGTCATCTTCAAGCGTGCTGAGAAGTACATCACCGAGTACCGCGATGCCGAGCGTGAGAAGGTCCGCCTCTCCCGCGTCGCTCGCGAGAACGACTCCGCCTACGTTCCCGCCGAGGCTACCCTGATCTTCCTCATCCGCATCAAGGGTATCAACAAGATGCCCCCCAAGCCCCGCAAGATCCTCCAGCTCCTCCGTCTCCTCCAGATCAACAACGGTGTCTTCATCAAGGTTACCAAGGCCACCACCGAGATGATCAAGGTCATCGAGCCTTGGGTTGCCTACGGATACCCCAACCTCAAGTCCGTCAAGGACCTCGTCTACAAGCGCGGTTACGGAAAGGTCAACAAGCAGCGTGTTGCCCTTACCGACAACGCCATCATCGAGGAGAACCTCGGCAAGTACGGCATTGTCTGCATGGAGGACCTGATCCACGAGATCTACTCCGTCGGCCCCAACTTCAAGCAGGCCTCCAACTTCCTGTGGCCCTTCAAGCTCTCCAACCCCACTGGTGGCTTCCGCCCCCGCAAGTTCAAGCACTACATCGAGGGTGGTGACCTTGGCAACCGCGAGGAGAAGATCAACGCTCTTATCCGCCAGATGAACTAAGTTATTTGTTTGTCTTAAGGTTATGGGTCAATTGAATCAAAAATTCGGGGATTTGGCAATGTGACAAGACGGGTTTGTCTTAGTTTTACTCGGGCTTCGGCGGGGTTGAGAATACCAAGGGTTACTTTTATGATTGGCATGGTTGCACGGCGTTGATAACCACAAAAGGGAAACTTGTGTGAATTGATCATTTGACGACACCTGGGTTCTTCATTCCCTATGAGTAGCAATGCAAGCCTCTTCTAAAGAGAGTAGTGTTCCGCGTGTCTAATATGTGAGAAGTAGTGAGTCTGGAATTACCTCGAGGCTTGTTGAGCCTGCATACCCAAAGTTTTCGCTCTCTGCCCACCATAACCCCGTAGTGTACACTCATGTCCCCCTCTTGATATTAGTACGTAGGTAGTGCAGGTCCCCTGCTGACTCATGCTTCAAATCTTGATGTCGAAGCTCGTCCCGCATCCGCAACTGCTCGTGGCGTATGGGTTGTCCGTGATCTTGAACTGGGAGCCGATGAGTTCCATCGTGAAATCCACCTTGCTTCCCTTCAACAGATCCAAGGACGGCTCGTCAATCACAATCTTTGGTCCCTCAAATGTCGCCGCCGAAGGGTCCGCGCCCTCGGGAAGGTACTGGAATACCGTATCCTCCTCTCCAACGACCTTTGACCAATCATCCACGTTCTCGGTCCCTGGGAGGGTCACTAGGCTCATGAGGTACTGGAAGCCGTGGCAGCCGCCGCTCTCTACTTGTATCCTGAGCGCAAGGTTCGGGTTTTTGTCCTTCTTCATGATGTCGGCCAGACGCTGTGAGAGCTTGTGTTAGCCATTGCCACGCAGGACTTAGCAAGCCTCGCAACGAGACAAAACCAAAGGACATGCCTTGCCCGCCCTGTCTGTGATCTCAAGCACCATCTCCTTCCCGTCCTCGTCGTTTTGCGGGTTATAGACACATCTCGTCTGCCGCCTCGTCGCCGAAGCCGTAAACTTGCGGATCTGTTTGTGTTTTGTTGCCGCGTTTCTCCTCGCAAAGTTCTGTGGCGTCGGCCTTGTTCTTGAAAGAGTTTCGGTACTATGCTTCCTTGCCCCGCCGGGGTGATTTGTCGTGGTGTCGGTGGCGGTATTCCACCTCGGAATCAGAACCGAGAGAATCGGGGCGCTAGCCGTCGTCGGCGTCGGCACCGAGCGGCGCGCAAGCTGCACAAAAGCGTTTGCGCTCGAAGGCGCGTGGAGGCAGCGCAGTGATGTTGCCATATTTGCTGCGTATTCGGGGGGTGTCGGATGCGCTCGTTGAAGTCGCAGGTGGAGGGCCGGGTTTGAAGAAATTTGACCAGCAGACAGAGGGTGGCAGATCTGGCTACCTACCGGGTGTAGCACAGCTTATGATGTAAAAGGTGATGGGCGGTAGGTGGCGGCAGTTGGCATTTGGGGGCAGTTCGGGGGAAATTAGTCAGCTCTGGGGGAGCTCGAAGGATGTCTGTTGTCCAATGGTTGTTTACGGATTTCAACTCATATTTGAAGCTCTGGCGGCGGTGCGGCTGGTTTGCCCGTTGGCCGGTGTGCAGGACACATCAAGATCTGTGATCGAGCTTACATGTTACCGTTTCAATGGCTTTTATCCGGGCAACGGAATCTCCGCTTTGAACCAAGGTATTTGCATGTTTGAGCAGATAAAGATTGTTGGCTCGGTTATTGAGGTTGTCGGAGCCGGTTGCTCGGATCTGTGGAGTACTTCAGATCGGAGACGCTGCAATCGCCGAGCTGCCCCGGCTTGCTAGGGTCTGGTCAACCGCCAGTCTCGACAACCCGCAATGAGTCCGGTCGAAACTATGCAGCCAATTGATATACCTGGTTTTGAAGTGTTTACAAACGGCACTACAAAGGATTTTGTATGTCAACAAAGATCGAATGATCACTGAGTGTGGCATTCAGCGCTGACCTGCCCTGAGTGACGAAACGTGTGGGTTGCATTTGCTGCTCGAGTGCGTTCCTTAAAATGATGAAGATGAGGTTGGTAGCAGAAATCCCAAAGCTTTCATTTGAAGTCTCTGCCAGTCAGTGCCTCCTGAAAGACGAATTGCCTATGCAAGTGCCATTGCCAAGAGTACCCGGAGGGTGTCTTGTGTCAAAGGCGAGCCTACCTTGCTGGTCATAGTTTCCTGCGTTTGCAGACTTGGTCTTGTTCATTGCAGAAAGAGCGACTGAGCTTCGGTAAAGTTCACAATGGTGATTGGGAAGCAGCAAGCATTTCGCAATTCCGTCGATCACCTTCAGCAATGATCATCTACAACTTTCAATAATCCTACACGTCTTTGCCTAAATCCTGGAAACGAAGTATCATTTTGGAACATAGTTTTATGTCGCCATGACATCTGTAACCCTCAAGCTGGCTCTCGCCAACAATACCCAACCCGGGGTCAATCTAACAACAAGACCGCATCTTCACCAAGGCGGCGATCACGCCCCCCGCCCCGTCAGCACGAAAATCATCCAGCTCGCCACAGGCGCCGCCATCGATGGTCTACACCAAAGCCGGGAGGTCGACGAACGAGGAATTGGTCCCAGTCAGGGCATATCAGGCTGGAAAATTGCTGCTCTTGTCTTCGTCAGCATAGCTTTGGCCACATCTATCACTGTCGCTCTCTACCTCATCTTGTCCAGGCGAAAGGAATGCAGGATGCGGCAGCGGGCTTCCAGTTCCACTGATTCTGCTGTTCTTAAGGGAGAACGAAAGAGAAATCTCTTGGGGATGTACTAGGATCCATCGATCACATGCTGCATCACCATTCTCCAGTGGACTTCGAGAGCCTCTTGATTCCTGGAACAGTGAAATCCCTTCCGACGAGCAATCGCACCTTTCAACTTCGAAAAGCACACCGGTGGTAATGATATGCGGGTGTGTAGGCAGCGGTCAGAACTCTGGTGAGGGCGACTGGGTTCGGTCATCGCCTTGGCAGAGATGGATAACGGTTGCTCCTTGGACACATACCAGGGCTTGGTTGAACACCGCACATTTCTCTATTCCGTTTGAAGGCAGAACGGCGGGAACATCAAGGAACACAGAAATTTCAGAACACCCTCCACTTTCGACCTCGTGGGGTAGCAGTACGCAAGCAGCATGGCACGAACAGAGTAGACAAACAAAGAAAATGGCTCTATTCCCATCGCTCTTCCCCGTCCTAATCTAGCAATGCCGACTCCAAAAAGGGTGATCTCGACGGAGGCACGCGCCGGCTCCTGGCTTTCCCCGGCGAGCTTCACGTGCTCGTGTGACGTAGTTGATTTTGTACAGCGTGTGTCATTCCGGTCGTTCGAAAGTTCGCCTTCGTTCTTCCGGTCTGTCTCGTTTCGACGGTGGTCCAAGGCATGACCTATGCCTGCTTCCTGATCTCCCTGGCGGCCTGCTTCAGGCTAGAGTTGCACTCCTCATACGCACGTCCAGCTCCGAAACCAACACCGATGAACGCAGGCCACGCTCTGCGCTTGAACAGGAGGACTGAGAAGACGACGCCGAAGCCGAGGCCGAGGGTGGACTTGACGAGGAGGTTGGACAGGCAGTGGTCCCACTACAAGAACAAAATGTCAGAAACAGCTGAATCCTCTGGTGTATTTAGAAGTGGGGAGCTAGCTAACCTTCTCGTTGAGAAGTGCCTCACTGACGGGTCGCGCGACAGCGCTCGGGGGAGGGGGAACGGATTTCTCAGCCATGGTCGTCGTCGGTAGCCCTGGAAAGATGTTGGTCAGCGTCAATGCGGCCTGCTGCAGCTTTGGGCGTCGACACTCACGCAATTGACTAGATACGCACTGGTGGGTGTCCGGGTTTGGAGCTTCAACTGTGGATTTGATCCAAATGATGTTTTCGGAGAGACCCGGCAAATTGATGTTGAACACCCGAGGGCGGTGAGCTCTCGGTGAGATTCGGTGACTGAATGCGATTGGGTGGGGCGGCAGAATCCCGAAATTTTGGGAAAGCTCAAGCCATACATCGCGGGGAGTTGATGCCGAGTAAAACATTTACCTGCTTAGAGACAATATACGTCTGCTGGGTTCCTTTTCTGTCGCACGGTCGCGATGGATGTTGAAATGACTGACGCGAGTCCTGACAGGTCGTCAGAGACCATTGTAAGTCCAATATCGACCAAATGTGTTTTCTAGCGTACTGACAATCCAAAGACGGCAGACAGGGACTTAGTCAAGACTGTGCGATCTCTCGACCAAACTGGCCCCGGCGCCAATGGCGAAAATCTCGATCGGCTATGGAAGCAGCTCACATCCTCCGGTCAGAGCCAGTTCTCCGCTGCCGAGGAGAGCGTTCTGCGATGGCTCCTTAAGACGATGAAGACGAACAACGACGAAGCAGAGATTGTCCGACGATTCCCTTTGACGTGGCGCATCCTCGGCTGCTCGTTCCAGAGAATACCTCTCTTCTCTCTCGCAAAATCCCTCGCCGATCGAAAGTTTATGGCCGTTCTTCAGCAAACGCTGAAGGATGTCGCAAAGCCTAGCACCGAGGCCGACACAACAGACTCGAAGAAGAGGAAAAGAGCCGGCACTGCAAAGTTCGAATTTCAGAGTCTGAAATCCAGCGATGGTTGTCTGGCAACTGGCGAGGCCATTTTCAGTGCTTTGAAGATACTGCTGGCGCGACTGGATCCTGCGGCGCAATGGTCTGCGCACGACAGGATGGGGGCAGAGCACATCAAGGCGCTTTTCGCGCAACCTGCGGCCGATGCTGTGGAATACCTGTCGCCTCTGCTGTCGCTGTGCAACCAATCGCTGGCGGTCGCTGATGGCGAACAGTTCGAGGGCCAGGAGTCCTGGGTCAAAGTCTTCTCTTCTGCATGGGACCTGCATCTTCAGGGAAGCGCCGATGCGCTTGAGGTAGCCACACACTTCTCCCGTGCCTCATTATCCATTCTGGGCAGACTAGAGCAGGGCGCTGCTGTGGGCGATGTAGTGGCCAAGTTCTGGACGCGCGAGCTGGAGAAGTTCCTGCAGCGCAACCTCATTCTTCCTGCTAGATCGGCATACTTCAACAAAACCGACCTCGAGATTGTCACTCGCGCCTTCAGCATGTTGCAAAGTATTGCATCCGTTTCGGTTCCCGTAATTTACAGCTTGGCCTCGGCCGCGCCGCAGGTTGTTGGGGGACTCACCACATCCAAAGCCAACGACGCCTGGATGCAAGAGGTGTTCAGGTTGTCTGAGCGTGCAAACAGACAACTATCCAAGAGCGAAAAGGCGCGCGTCATGACATCGATATTGGAAGAAGCGATCGCGAATAAGGCCTGTATTGCCTTGGACGATCTGCGTATGGTGTGCAGTAATTATGCCGTTACTGGCAGCCCCAGCGAAACCGACTGGACACTCCTTTCTCTCATCGCTAAATGCGACGCAGATGTTTTCCTGCAATCCGAGGAGGGAATGGAGCTCTTCGATCAAGTTTGCGAGAGAATTACTGTTGCTGGCGCTGAGGCAAGCGAGGTGTCCATGAACGAGCTGATTGCGTCGCTGATCACTGGCTTCGAAAGCGCCCGTGATTTATCTACCTTCCTGAAGAAGTGGTTCGACCAGGTTTCCAAATTTGAGGATAAGGCTCTGCGTTCCAAAGATAGGCCTGTCTGGTTTACTCGAGTCCACCGTAGCCCTATCCTCATCGGCGGCATCGAGAAATCGTTGACTACGAAGCAATTGACGAGCCTCCTGGAATGGGTTGAGAACCAAGAGACTCTTCGACCAGCAGCAGTGCTCATCTTCCTTAACACAATTGCCAGCGCTGTAACCAACGACGATTACGCTGATGCGATTGGCACGCAACTATCAGATTTGACCCTTAAAGTATGGTCATCTGGCAAGGTTCCTTCAGATATCCGCTCCTTGCGGTGGAGGATCATCGCAAAGACAGTGTCATGGGCGGACTACCAAGGAGCGACCAAGCTTTGGGACAGCGTTCGCGCCGATCTGACGAAGGCACTGCAAAAGGCCAAGTTCGAGGACGAGGATGCTTGCGAGGCTCTGGAGTGTGCGTATCAGTTCTGGCTAGCCATGTACCCGGATGGCCGTGACCAGGCCGATCTCGCTTCGCTCCTCACATCGTTCGTGGAGAGGTTATTGAAGAAGGTGAATCTCGATGACGTGAAAGAACTGCTGGAATCGCGGGATTCTTTGGCTTCAGACACCTCCCATGCGTCCAAGTTCTGCGCCGAGTACCCGCTGGCGGCGTCCAGACTTGTTTCGCTGCTCTCAAAGTCATC